TCTGTGTTTCTGTGTGTCTGTGTGTCTGTGTGTGTGTGTGTGTGTGTGCATGCATACATGCATATATATATATATATATCCATATATATATATATATGTATGTATATATATGTGTGTACATATATATATACATATATATGTATATATATATATATATATATTTATTTATTTATACTTATACTTTTACATTTATATCTGGCCACGTACGTATGGTTCTATCTACTTGTTTGTATACTCATGTCAGGGGTTTACGTAATGTCATAGATATAAGCACAAATATATAAACATATAGACAGAGAGAGAGACATACATACACATGTGTGTATATATATATATAGAGATGTATGCAGCGTTTCATGTCTCGGTGTACCTATGTATGTGTATGTGTGTATATATATATATATATACAAACATATATTTCTATATACACTTACATACAGTTACATAAACATACAGAGGAAGAGACAGACGGAAAGAGAGAGAGAGAGAGAAAAGAATAGAAAGAGAGAGAGAGAGAGAGCGAGCGCTGTGAATGAATGTGTGTGTGTGTGTGCGCGCGTCTACCTACCTTCCCCTCCACCGATATTTCTGTTGATCGATCGATCAAGCGAGCTTGCCAGCTAGCTAGCAGCTGGCGAGCGGTCTACCTATCTGTCTACCAGCAATCTGTGCATTCATCCCTCCTGATGTGACAGTGTACATACATGCGTACCATGTTGCTTGTCTGTGTGCAGAGTTCCACAAGATGTTCCATTGTGAATGTTCATGTGAATTTGCATGTATTAACTAATGCTCTCGGTTTCCCCATTCATCCACTTTCGCTGCGATACATCAAAAAGCATATCTTCGTCTATCTAAGGGCGCCTGTCAAGAAATGCCATGTCATAATATGCTGTCTGTAGTATTCTGGTTCAATATTCCTGGACTGGTTGCATACTTGTGTAGGTCAAAGGCTTTTGAGTCTTGGGAGTCAGGGTTGAAACGGCAGGGCTCCGAGGTGAAAGCTACAAGTTGGAGGCTTCGGAACCAAGGATGCAGGCTTAGGGCGCGTAAAGTCAGGAGCCTCGGTTTAGGTGTGGAGGTTCTTTGGCTTCGGGCTCTACTGCACCATCACAAGAGCAACTCCGATCCTGACTTCATCCGGAGCAGGCCTTGACCCGGCGGGGTCTCTAAAGTGTAGGCCAAGTAGGCCAGATACCTGCGCAAGCCAACTGCACGCAAACGTGTCGGCAAGCCACAGAGGACCCCTGTGAGAGTTCCGGAACCCAAGACAATCAGCCGTCATCTGACAAGTGCATGACGAGGAACCACTGCCCCAGATGCAGTTCCTGCGCCGACTCGCCGTCGGCCTTGGAATGCATCGAACTTTCCCTTCCTGTCATGAAGCTATCTGAAATCATTTCCTGTGAACTAGCATGATTCATTCGTGAGAAACATCGCAAGTTCCTGAAGCAGGTTGATTACCCAGATACCTTAAACCGCCAACAACGCTTTCTTCTGCAGCCCCGCACTCAAAACTCCGCAATTCTGCCCCACCACGCATGAAAACCCGAAGCTCTTAACCTACACGCAAATCAAAGGGACCCGATGCCTCCCAGAAGCCACAAGCCGTGCCTGCAGCAGGTTGGCTGTCTTCCGGAGCACATCCTGCCATCTGCAGTTCACGACTTGTGACTTAAGCTGTCGGGTCCTGGTCAAGCAGGGTCTGGAGTTCAGGATTTTCGGGTTGAGGGCTGAAGGTGCAGCAGGTAATTCGAAACTACAGGTTGCTCCCCTTCCATTTCATGGCGGTTTGGCGTCTTCTTGCCTCGAGGCTACGGCGGCTAAGACCCCAAAATTCGCCATAATGCCTCGATCTCCAACCTCGGCCGTCGTTCCAAGCACGTTCTGCCCCAGGACTCTGCCTCGCGGTGCTCTCCGAGAACTGCACAAGCCCAGGCCTCCGGCGAGAGCGCTGCACCCTGCTAACCTTTCTAACCTCCCACTGCAGTGGGTGAAGGCTGATGGGCTGTGTCTGCGAGAATTTGCCTCAGAATGGCCTGATGACTGGTCGTTCTGGTTGATGCTGTCTGTGATCTTGAATATCGCATCTTGGGAACTACGGCGCTCTTCAGAGCCTTCTGAATCTGCTCCGCTTTGATCTGTGACCCCAAAAACCGGGGGAGCTGCAAGGTTCGCACCCTCCCTGGCCGACACGCTGGGCAGCGCCTTGCCAGAGTCTGCGAGGGAGATTTACCATGCCCAGGCTCCCTGAATTTCTCCCGACCTTCCGCACGACCTTTGCCAGCCCCTCCCAAGGCAAAGCCAGCGTCGCCATGGACCAAACCTCGCATTGGGGGGTGCGCTCAGAGCGCTCACACGATGGGGATGAGGATTCAGGTCTTTAGGGCCTTGGGGAGGTGGGGAGCCAGGGAATGAAGCTCGGAAACTTTCAGGTCTGGGGCCTTTGGTTGTGGAGTTAGGGTTGAGGTTCCGAGTTTGCGCCTAGGCTCAGGGTGTTCTACCAAAAACTGGAACCCAAGACCTCTGCCCTTGTATGCTAAGGAACCCAGAACCCTCAACGTTACAGGAGAAAGCCGTGAGTCTGGTGTTCTGATTGCGCATGAAAAGAAGGCTTCGGAGTGCCATGAGACCCAAACCTGAACAACTCAGGTCATCTTCTCGGCTTCAACGATACTGCCTTGGCCCTGGAAGGCCTCAAAGTCGACAAGATGCAACGCCCTCCAAGACCCCTCCCCCCTAAACCCCAAGTCCGGGGCCTGCATGCTCAGGGACGGGGTCTGCTGGGGAGGATTTTAGCATAGTCTAGTATTTTATGAGGGAAGCTTCAGGATTACCGCCCATTTCTGAGCTCAGCCCCGAAGTTTCTTTCGGGGGCCCCGGCAAGGGCCGATAGCTCCTCCGACCGGAAGCTCTCCGGGCTCCTCCAAAACACACCAGAACGCTTAGGGTTTAGGAGTTCAGGAGTTTAGGAGTTTTAGGGTTTGGGGCTTAGGGAGAAGTTTTCGACGTCGGAGGTGGAGGAAACTCTGAAACTTGAGCGTTCCGCTAAGCTCCTGATTTCGCAGAATTGTCGGGGTTTCGGGTGAGCACCCAAAGGCGGAATCTGCCAGCGAATGGAACGCCACTCTTGTTGTGTATGATGTAGGGAAACAATGTGCGTTAAGTGTTAACGTTGGAAAACAAACCTCATCCAACAGAGATCCATACGCTCTGCCCCTTCTAAACACCCTAGATCGGGATCGATCGGAGTCGAGGGGCGCGTGGGCGAAGCTCGCCGCCTCTTGAAAGAGCGGGCGGTGGAGGAAGGCCTGGGTGGCGTACCTCAGGGGTAGGCCGGACAGTCTCAGCGGTCGCAGCGGTGCCGAAAAAAGGAGGGAAGGGCTAAACCTTCACCAGGCAAGGCTCGACCAGCATATGTTAGCCATCTGTTGCGCAGAGTAGGCCGCGCGGCCTTCGTCACAGTCTCTCTTCAACAAAAAAGCGCATGAACAGTTTTCAAAGGCCGATCAGGAGCACTTCTGTAACATTGGGCATTCTAACTGATGTTGAGAAACGTCCCGATCTCTTCCCATACCCGGCCTCGTGCCTCCAAGCTGCACCGTCTTCCCCACTTCCGTGAAAAGAGCCCGGTCGGCAACTTTGGCACATCCCAGGGCCCAACAAAGGTTGGAGAGACCTGGCGACGACTTCAGGGGAAGCGGTTCGACTTTCTGTTTTAGAACATGCAGAAGGTTGCGACAGAGTTGGTGCTAGCTCTCAGCGGAAGATCACCGGAAGATAATCGATTCGAAAGCCGAGCTTCTGCATCTACGCAACCATCATGAAAAAAATCATGAGTTTCGGGCCTGAGATGCGCAGGGCAGGGCAGGGCAGGGCAG